CCTCAGCCTCCCAAAGGCACGGGATTACAGGCTGAGCCACTGAGCCCGACCAGCTTATATTCTTTATCGGATGTTTTCAAAATTTTGCAGTGTATGTGGCTCTGATTCTGTCATTTGGTTTTCTACTAATTTTACTTGTTTCCATGTGTATTTTGTGATTTTCAGGTGTGTGTTTATGTGTGTGTATACATATATATGTATGGATATACACACATATCTGAGTTCATATTACTTGAAATGTCTTCTCTGGGAATATTTTGAGCACGTACTTGAACCGCATTCCTCCAGCGAATGACCTCCAGCTCTTCTAAGCTCTTGTGTGTATAAACAATTGAAATCCACCATAAAGATTTGACTTTGGAGTTTTGTTTTGATCCTCATAGGCAGTGTAAATTCTGGTTCCCAGATTATCTTGTAGCAAGAAGACAGAGGGATCGTGACACCGAGACTATTATAGGAAGTGGCATTTTATGACGCCGGCCAGCTCGGCGGGCTTGACGGGGCTAACGTTTCCAGGTTGAGCCCTGCAGAACAGAAGAGGGGTCTTCTACCCTTGTTTAGGTAAGGGAGGGGGTTATGATGAGCGATTACACCTTCTCATTGGAATTGGCACCGTGGTGTTCAGAAAAATCTGATCTTTTCAAGAACAAGTGGTCTCCAGGAACTGCGGGGCAGCAGGGTCGGCAAGCAAGGTTGTAAACCATCAACTTCAGAAGAGGGGTTTTGGATAAGTCTGTGAATTCGTTACTCCTTTGCATTTCCATGAGAGCTATCAGTCTCTGGCCATTTGGCCTTTTCAAACAAAACTGGCCTGGTGGGTCTTTAGAGTTTGCCGCTTGACTTTCAAAAGGAAATACCTTTAACTGCTACCAACCCCCTTCCTGCCACATCAATCTAAGAATCAACTTCTGGGTAGCATTCTTAGGGGAGCAATTTTCTAATGCACCCACAGCAAAAGTGGAAAAACCATCTTGGTCATCGGGCTGATAGTGGACCATTATTTCTTCCAGCTCATCCAGAAGATAGCCTTTCCACTTCCTCAGTTTCGAAGAATGCCTTGTATTCAGCCCTTCCCCCACCTTCCGTAGGCCGAGTTCACGCTTCCGTGCCTTGTGTGGGCTCTAAAGCCCAAGATCTGCAGCTCAAGTCTGCGGTCTCTCCTGTCCCCCCGAGGGCAGTCTCCGTGCTCTCGGGTCGGCAGCAGGTTCTTATTGCTTCTTTTTTCCTGGTGCTTAAGGACTTCATTCTCAATTGCAATAATGTTTGTTCTAGTTTAGCCAGCATTAGGAAGCTTTTGTAGCTGGAGGGTTTTCCCTTTTTTTCACGCGTGATGCTGCTGGAGCAAGTCGTAGAATGTGTGTTTATGACCGAGGACCCAAGTTTGTCATGAGAAAACAGCAGAGCTGTGAAAGACAAGGGCTAAGCTCTGAGTGGGAGGAAGGAAAGATCTAACATGGGAGAAAACAACTAAAGCGCTCATCTGTTTCAAAAATTTCAAATGTTGAGATTTTATATTCTAAATAAAGCACAATGAGCAAATTAAGAAATAGTGTCCCAGACAATGTTTAATAAATTCTGTGTGATGACTGAGCGTAGTTTTGATTATTTTCTTATTCAGTAATTCCTGCAATAGAATGATGTTTTTTTTTGTTTTTGTTTTTTTGAGTTGGGGTCTCACTCTGTCACCCAGACTGGAGTGC